ACAGGGTCTCACTATGTAGTTCATACTGCCCTGGAACTCACTATGTAGCCTGGGCTGGTCTTGAACTCACAGCAATCCTCCTGCCTCAGCCTTCCAAGTGCTGGAATTACAGGAGTGCACCACCACACCCGGCTGGAAAGTATTTTTATAGAGTATAACTCAGACACATTTTACGAAGCTGCTTTCACTCACTTTGGATAACTCTTTAAGTTTTCCGGTTTATCAGTGTTAAGTACACTAGAAGCATTTTTATTTTACTTTTCTATGCTCTTCACAAACTTGTACAGGTGCAGATCTCTCATTACTTCTACCTAGCATTTAAGACGCTGAACAATATGAATCCATGCTTGACTTCCACGGTTACTGTGTTTTATACTTCGCCACCTTGATACTAATTTTCTAATACTTTCACGTCATTTAAAATAGTAGATTGGTGAGCCAGGTGTGGTATCCCAGCCCTCAGGAGGCTGAGGCAAGAGGCTCACGGTGAGTTCGAGGCCAGCTTGGGCTACACAGCCTGACCTTGTCTCAGAAACAAAAACAACACAACACTAGATTGGTATTAAATTCAGAGAGTTAATATAAATTCACTGGATACATTTCTAATAAAATAAAAAGTGGAGACATTGAGGGCTAAGCACAAAATTTATATGCTTTTGCTTCCTATTTTCAGTACCGTGGAGGTACTACATCTCGGCACCTGTTGGTGACCGTGTTCATTTTGGCCATGCAACGAAGTGTGCCTGTAAGAAGCTGGCTTGTGCGTGTGCTGGGCTCTGCTCATGTGCCTTGTGGCTGGTGTGAGCCAGTCTGGTGATTCACCACTGTGCTCGCTCAGCTTTCTTTGTGACAGAGAAGAAAAAGTACCTCGGTTAAAAGTTGTGATTAAAATAAGCAGTGGAGCCCAGAGCACTGATGCTTTTAGAGGAATCAACGTACAGGTCTGCCTTTCTGAGACTGGGGGAGATAGTTTCTCAGGCCTTGATTTCCCAGCCTTGGGGTGGCAAGTAGGAGGGACCTCTACAAGTCCACCGTGCTGTTCCTCAACAACAGTTTCCAGCAGCACAAACTTAACAAAGCGATCCAGTTGTCAGGCCAATAGAGATAATCCAGCCAATGTGATGGACCAGCCTGATTGTGTGATCAAGAGAAACGGAGGAAAGTATTGGGAAGCTCACAGTCCAGTGGAAAGCTACATATTGCCCACTGTCGACATTTAATGGACTAGGCATCATCTACAGCCTTGGGCATCACCTGGCTGATTGGGGGGAGCACAGTTTACAATTCTGTGAGCTTTAGGTAATCGATATGCGTACATTCTGCCCAGGGGAGGCTCTGCTGGCCTTCCTTCCCTCGGTTTGCCTCCATTTATATCCATTTCAATATTCCTGATGTACAAATATCTTTTTCAAGTGTGCTTTGAGCTGACTGTAACGCCTCCCCAGTTTCCTCATCACTGTGATACACAGCATCTTTAATATGTATTTTGGGTCTGTACGGAGTGCTGGATTTGCCCTTCTTTCATAATTACCTTTTAATGCTACTAGTTACAACTACACCCCTACAGCACAGCACAGAGCTTTACAGTGGGTCCACAGAACTGTGTCAGTATGCCTCATTTATAGTTTTTGTTGTCTATGTGTATTATTTAAAATTTGAAATGTGTGTATCCTACTCCACTATTCTACTGCAGCCACAAGAAATCTGAAGAAATAGCTGACCAAGCCACCGTGACTGACAGAAAAACTAAGTGCCAACTTTTCCTCTTCTAACAGCATGGTCCGCCCTCCATCCCTTCAAACTCCTTTGTCTCCTGAATCCTCCTCCTCTCACACAGTAGAATCCTGAGCAGCTGGGGAAGGAGGAGCCCAAATCACTTCTTAATTTTCAGAGAGATGGACACTGACAGTATGACCAGGAAGGGTGTATCCTTGTTCCTCCTTCCACCCTCCCTTCTCTTTTTGGCCATCATGGGTTGAGCAGCTTTGCTGAGCCAGGTTGTTCCACCTTGCCATTACTGTACTGGAGCCAGCCGACTATGGACTGAACCCTTTGAAATCATGAGCCCCAGTAAAACTCTCCTATACGTTGTGCGTGTTATTTTGTCCTAATGATGGGAAAGTGAATAATACACCTCTCACTGCAAACACACTCTTCTTTGCCTAGCTTTATGACTAGCTGGGGATGGAGCCTTTAAATACTTCGTTAGCAGCTGGCTTTGTCAATGGAGGGCACTGGAGGGGCACCGCATAATCATCGCAGGAGGAGAGGGTTCCCTACTGGCTTGCTTGCCCCTTCTGACGAGCTTCTGGTGGCTGCCACTCTATGTCCAAGGAGACCAGAAGCAGCCTTGGCTGAAGGACCAGGTGCTTTCTGAATGTGCTATTTCTGGTACTCCTAAACTCCTTTTTAATGTCTTTTAGTAAGTAATGGCCATTTACTAGTAAGCAGTTTTTAACATACAGTAACTGGTGTGGCCTCTGTCTTCTGGCTGTGCTTCGACTGATACTAAGCAGAGAAGAAGTGTTGAAGGGTGAGGGCAGAGTGACAGTGTAACTGAGGGGAGAGGTTAGAGTTCTCAGAATTTTAAGGCAACCCTAATTTCACAGAATATTTTCTATGGGCTTTAGAGATATTTATTTCCAAGTCATATTTGTTTGAAAACTACATAAAATTTTGCAACTGTATTACATACTTTTTTATTAGTTATAGCATATTTCTCCTACTAAGTAACATATAAAAATAATTTTCCACAAAATATAGAACTTGATGGGAAAAACTGGGAAATATTTGTTCTGTGGGCGCTCATTTTTTCCCACCCCAAATCCCAGCCTGAAATATAAGAGGTGGGTGGTGGTGGAGGAAAGAACAAGGCTGCTGCTGATGGCCGCTCACAAATCCCTAACATGTTTACAAGCAGGTCGCTGCACGCTTGTGGCCCAGCACCCAGCATCCTGGGACAGGAAGATCGCAAGTTCGAGCTCAGCCTGGGCTACAAAGCAAGTTCCAGGCAGGCCTGAGCGACACAATGAGACCCTGCCTCAGATAAACAACAAGGAGGTGGACCCTTACCATTTTCCAGTCCTGGGAATGGCCCTCCCCGGGTGAATAGACATCAACTTTGCAGACTCCATTTTGGCTTTGTAGCCAGTCGACCCTATCGGCCATCTGGAAGCACAGAGGAAAAGTCATCAAAAGGTTGCGTGACAGTGAGGAGAAATAAGGGGAATGGCAGAGATGCAGGAAGTAGGGGCAATGCCTCCTGTGGAGAGCTTCCCCGGAGAGCTAGCTCTGAGCCACTCAGCTCTGGGCATCCTTATCCTCGGCTCTCAACGGCAGGAAGATTTCCCGACCATATTCTGTCCCTAGTGATGAGGCTGCTGCTTCACCCACACTTGTTAAATGGATAGGCAGCCACGTCCTGCTCTTGTTCCTTGCTTGGAAACCTTCCTGCTCCCCCTTCGATTTTGAGCAGAAAGGCAAAACTAAATGTGAGCAAAACAGACTAGTTTTCTGTTGCCTGTTATTATCCCCTGAAGTGATTTTTAAAGACATAGATACCTTACTTTTAATTAATTTCTTTCTTTTCTTTTTTTTTTTTTTGTTCTTTTTTGTTTTTTGAGACAGGGTCTCACTATATAGTTGAGACAGACCTGGAACTCACTGTGTAGCCCGGGCTGGTCTCAAACTCACAGTGATCCTCCTGCCTCAGCCTCCCAAGTGCTGGGATTACAGGTGTGCAGCATTTAATTAATTTCTAGAGTGATGCATTTAGTAGATTCTTTGAGATCAGTTCCTCCTTCAGTCAGCCAAAGATTCCAGAAGAACTCTCAGCCTGCATGGCTCAGCCAAACCTCGAATGCCGGACAGGGATGCTCTCTGTACCATCCAGCATCCACGATATCCCCCGGGGTGGGGTTTGTTCTCAGCCCTCCCAACATTTCGCTCTAATCTTGCATCTCAGTGATGGCATTACCCTTACCTGATCTTCTCAGCCAGAAAGCTGAGATTCATTTGTGTTGTCTTCCCTCACTCTAAACCTCCCTTACGACTTCTCTTGCATTGCAGTCATTTTTCTTAAATGAACGGTTTATGCTCCCTGTCCTCATGGGTCCATCTCTTGCCCTTATTCCACACACTCTCGACCTTCGGTGTTACTCTCACACCCCACAACCATGCCTCTTACTAGGCAGTCTCAGAGAACACTCCCACTGCCCAGGGACTTAGATTATCCATGATAATCCCCAGGCCAAAGGGATGGGAAGCTTCTCTTTGCCTCCATTTTCGCGTTAGACTTTCATTTCCTGGTTTCCACACTGAAATTTCACCTCTGTCCATCTAAACACTGCTCATCCAGATCTACTCAGTGACGAGATGGAATGAGGTGCTCAGATTTTCCTGCCTCATGTCCTGAGCATTTTCATGAAACAGACGTACACCTTTGTATTTTGATTCTGACAAAATACTGGTTTAAATTCAGTTACGATAAAGCCCAGCAGGTTATGTTAAGCTGGAACTGTCTTTTATAAAGGATTGCTTGAAATAAGAAATGCATTATTTGGGGGTGGATATCTGGTTAACTGAATATATTTGTTTTAAAAACTTCGGGATGTCATGAGGTGGACATTCTCCCTCAAAATAAAGCCAACAAAATAAAAAACAGGTTAAATACATGTTGAGACATATCTAAGTGATACATTAGTTTTGTCACACAGAATATTATGAATAATCAGTAAGAAGAAAATAGATGTTTGGTGAGCTACTTATTCATTGCCCACACAAGGCTTTCTTCCCAGTCTCACACCTCAATCACCGACTCTGACTTCTAAACTAGAAAAAGTTTTTTAAAGTTACTCTTCCACTTGCCAAGATATAAGTGACTCCTGGGTGAGGAGTGGTTTCTCCACGATTACCAGTTCTGTGATCACCCAGAGAACTGTGTAAAGGTGTCAAATCGAGCACTAAGTCCAGAAAATCCTATTTTGATGATTTTAGATTGGGAGAATGTAGGCATTGAATTGCTTAAGCATTCCTTGAATGAGTCTAATGTATCTTGTTTTGTTTTTTTTGGTACCGGGGATCGAACCTAGGTGCTTGTGCTTGTGAGGCAGGCAGCAGAACCACTGAGCTAAATCTCTGGCCCTAAACGAGTCTAATGTATATCTAGAATTGAGAGCCCTGGGCCAGGGTTTATCTGGAGAGACTCCCTTATCTGGAAAGATAATTATTTACTCTTTGAAAATGTTGACTGAGATTGACTTCCTAACCTTTGTTAGTATTATTTTTTAACCTGAACAAGGAAGTCGTTAATGTCTATGAAGCTAAATTTGGCATTGTTCTCACTATTACATATAAACATTCTTAGGTTTGCATCCTGACTATGAGGAAAATAATTAATGATACTATTGCCAGAGACATGTCTCTTATTCTCCTTTATATTTCAGCCTCGTGAGTTGCTTCTAATAGAAAATGACAAAATCAATAGGATCTACTGCCTTATTTAACTTACATTCGATAATTAAAAAGATGAAAATTAAGTTTGCAAAGTAAGGAAATTGTGATTACTTACTTTTACTGAGGATGGGTTCTGAGATATGAGGAAAGCTCTTGATTAATTTGATGTTGTCTTCTCTATCACTAAGTTTACTTACACCTCCTGCCATGTAATATATAAGGAATCTGCAATGGAAAGACAAAAATAAAATACCTACTTTACATAGGAATCCTATTGCTTTTATTACCAAAAATGATTTGGACTCATCTTCACATGCAAATGCGTGTGGTCAGCACAAAATGACATTTACATCTTATTCTTAGTGCATTCTGACAGTTCCCAGAGGACAAAAAGTTCCACTTTCTGGCCAATAACTTCTTAAATGACTGTTATTCTCCACCTGCAAATCATTATTGTTATAGTCTTATTGAACAATGAGGACACCAAAGTTTTTGGTTCAATCTCAAATTTGCATAAATAGAAATTTGGAAATAAATAGGTGGAATGGACAATAAACGCCCTGAATTCATGGATCTCAGAACATTTTGTAAGTGCTCCTTTGAGGACTTGACAATGATACATGTCCTCATACTATGAAGGGAGTGGTGGTTAATGTGTTCTAGTCCAGTGACCTTCCTAGGACATTCTGACAGAAGACACTAAGACACTGTACTCACTTTGGACACCTGCTCAACATGCCAGCCCCATCCTCCCTCCATGGCTCTCTGAACTCCAACCTTTCTCAGAGCCCAGGTCCAAAGTTGCCCTATCCATGAACAATTTCTAAGATCTTAGTGCAATGTGTTTGCTCCCTCATCAAAGTTTCCATCTTACTTCATTACAACCTCACTTTTTATAACTTTTAAATCCCATCTAAGGCTGTGACTGCTCACATATATTTTATCCCCTTCAGTAGATGGCTTCATGAAGGCAGAAGCACTTTATTAAATATCTTGGTATTTCTTGTAATAGCTAGTATGCTAAAACTGGGACTTAATAATTTTATGCAGGAAGAATGGACATTCAAATTCTGCCTATTTCTAGTTCCAAGGAGCCAATTTTTCTTTCTTTTATAAATTGGAGAATCTGAGAACAAAAAAGAAATGGCTTGTCCAAATTTGCTATCACACTTGAAGCATACATTCAGATGTTCTTTTTTAAGATCTACATTTTGTTTTTTATTAGTACCGGCTTACAGTACATAATGATTACATTCATTGTGAGGACCTGTACATGTACATCTTTTTTCATCTCTTTCCCTTGCCATCCCTCCCTTTCCCTCCAGATGTTCATTCTTGAAGTTGACACCTTGGAAACTTATCCAGTGGTTTACTAACAGGCCTCTGATTCCAGTGATATTAATGTCAACACCCCCAACTACTCTTTTCACAGAAAGACAGCTGTCTCATTAAATATATCCAGCAAACACAACTTACATATATCCTAATGTTCATTCTAGTTTGTTTCCTCTGGGTGATTATCTGATCATGAAGCTTGTTTTTAGACTACTAGAACTCCCAAACTTGCTCTGGATGATAGCTTATATAAAGAGGTACATACTCCCCCCACCCCCATACTGGGGATTGAACTCGGGATCTTGCACTTGCGAGGCAGGCAGAAGCAACATTGAGCTAAATCCCCGGCCCTGGTAAATACTTTTTGATGACAGTGATCTCAGATTTCCAAATCAACGTGTACATTTCCCATAGCGAAGTGAAAAAAAAGGAAGAGCTAACGAGTCAATACAGGAATTCATACAATGCTTTATGAGTTTCAAGTTGGTAATATCTTAAAGATATGGTGGAAATTTTAAAGAATGTTTTATGTATTTAATTTTATAAGAATAGAAAGTGGTCTCTACATAAAATATATCTATAGCTGTATCTGTCATTTATTCTAGCACCTCATCTTACAGATTAGAACAGAGCCCAGAAGGGAATGTTAGAGCCAGTGGATACATTTCTGTGTCCCCTAGTTTGGCAGTTTAACAGCCTCAAAGCTGTGGCATTTTCCTGTGGCCAGTAGAGCGATTCTATGGCCATAGAGGTAGCAACCTAAAATGCTCTTCAAAAATGCCATGGAGATTGCTTATTACCTCGAACCGAGGAGGATGCAGTACAAATCATTAATGCCAGTGGGAGGGCACAAGCAATAAAGGGGTGTGGTTGCTGTATTCTAGACCAGTGTCATCTCAAGACGTATTTTCCTGTATTCATCTTAAGCAAGAAGTTACTGAAGATTCCTAAATTTATGAAAAACTAAATTATAGGCAACATAAGTGAAGCCCTTGTGTGGTTGCTGCATGTATATCCATCCTCCCTACTGGGGATTGCACCCAGGGCTTTCACAATGAGCTACATCTTCAGACCTTTTTGTCTTTTTTTTTCCCTGGTACTGGGGATTGAACTCAAGACCTTGTACTCTGGAGGCAGGCACAGCACAAATGACCTAAATCCCTGGGCCCTTTTTACTTTTTTAATTGCAATCCTCTCACCTCCACTTCTGAGTGCTGGAATTTCAGGCATATGGCACAATGCCCAGCTTTTCTATCCCTTTCTGGAAGTGGCTGCTACACTGCAGACAATGAATACAGTTGATCGTTGCTGGTATCAAAGTTTCAACTGATTTCGCTTTAAATAAAGATTGTTTCGCACTATTCTTTTTTGTTTTTTAAAGACAGGCTCTTGATGTGTAGGTCAGGCTGACCTTGAACATACTATGTAGCCTAGGCTGGTCTTAAACTCTTCCTGCTCCTCCTGCCTCAGCCTCAAGTGCTGGGATTACACGTGTGCAACCACACCCAGCTTCAGCATTCATTGTAAGATTTCTCATGGGACCCTTATTTTTGCTTTTCCTTAGTAATAATAGCTTCTTTCTCAGATGCTTTAATCTCCATAGTCACATAAATCCTGCCCATCCCTTGTACTCTGTCGTCTTACCAAGGCTTCAGAATTAACGAGAGTTAAAATGCCTGAGAATTGGACTCAAGGGGTATACCAGTCTGATTTGACCCTCAGAACACTGGAAGGAACATATGGGACAGCTAGACAACAAAAAAGAAAAGTCCATAAGTGGGCAAGCTCCCACTCTCAAAGTCTCACAGAGAAGGGAGACCCCTTCGTTCCCTAAAGGATGGCCAGGGAAATCTGGTCAAATCTGCTAGGAAAATCAGAATGTGAGCAGTACAGTTGGTAGGTGTAATGCTGCTGAGGAAGACTCATTTCCATAGGGTTCGAAGGTAAAATTAAAATGGGCCAGGCAGAAGAATAAGGCTGGGTTGAACATAAAGCTGCCCATCACCTATCATGTGACTTCTCCCTTCTGTCCACAGATTGGGCTGTTTCATCAGTCCCCTGGGATTTCCTACCTTTCTAGCTCTGGATTAGTGAACCACAGAAGACTCCAAAATATACTTTTAAAGTCAATGAAGATGCTGGGATGTTCTTGCTCAGCTCAAGATCTTGTTTTCTCCCCCAGCCTTCCATTCACCTCCCCTTTGTTGGGTCTGGGGGATGACATCAGAATTGTGACCGGTGATATCACTGTCTCCATGGTAACACTGTAAGGTGTCCACAAGTAGAGATCCAAAGGGTAAGTGGAAGCATAGCTATACCCCAAAGCTCTGGTGTTTACTCTGGAAGGAGTAGGTGTGCTTTCTCCTAATTTGCTCCTTTGAATGTTTAATTCAGGTGGGATAATATAGGAAGGAATATTTTGCCAATAGATTCCATTTAAAACTGCAGAGCAAATATTATATACTAACAAATCCAGATAGATGCAGAGGAGAATGTGAAATAAAAGAATTGAGGGTTCTTACAGGAAGCCAATGGAATCACTTCATTTTTGGGATCCAGCCTGGACTTTTTGTAAGCATTTTATCTGTAAAAAGAAAAACAAAAAAACCCTTTAGGGATATTTTGCCTAAACTGACCATGTCTGGGTTATAATTTATCTTTGATGGTCAGAAATAAAGTAGTGCTTACTCCTCAAAATACTTGATATGAGGACCAAGAGGCATTTGATTGGTGATTTCTTCTATATTGAGGAAGACTTTTCAATATATTCTTTGAAAATGTTACCATACTCTTTAATTAATGATATGATTTTCCATGAAGCAAAAAACTGCCAATCAAGGAAAAGATGAGGTATAGATTAAAATTTAATATTCAAAAGTGATTGGTTTATCACAGGCTTTGTTCAACTGTTATGTTTTATATTAGGTAAAATAAACTGGGCTTGTTAGTTTCTTAAGATTCTTTCCACCTCTGGCAATGGTTTGAATACTTCAGTGGTTATCTGAATAAACATGCATCTATACATAACACTTTGCAGTTGACAAAACTCCTTTCACGTCCATTATGTCATTTGATTCTCACAATAACCTTTTGAGATAAGGCAAGTATTTTCCTGGGTAGGTGTAGAAGCTTGTTCAGGTCACAACTAAGTAGAAGTGGCAATGGAGGATTTAATATTCTAAGCGTTAAAAATCAGTGCTCTTTCAACTATAAGAGGACATCCTGAAACTACAATTGAGAAAGTGAGGCAGTGTCTGACTAAGAGATGCTACTTAACGCTTACACAGGAGGTTGGCGATGACAGGGAGGTACGTCAATTTATCAGATCCAGCAAAGTGTCATTAGCCAAAAGTACAATGTTAGCAAATAAGCACTAAGTGGACATAGAATGAGAAAAAAAAAAAAAAGACCATATAGCATTACTAAGCTTTTCTGACCAAATTCCGGGGTTTCTTTCCCCTTCCAATTCAATTTGTGTGATGCTTCAGTAAACGGTAGGGCGGGACAGAATGGAAACGGGCTCTTATATGCCTAGTGATAGGCACCTCCTACTCACACTGTAGCCTTGTTGTCCATCTCAGCAACACAAATCAATTACTAAATCTAGAAAGAGTTCCCCAAACTAGGTTGTTTTCTGACAAGCCCACAGTGTGTGTCTCATAGGATCATTGGTTGTCTTCTCAGGGATTTCAAGAGGTGATCAGAATAAGGTATTTTATTTTTTTGAGACGGGGTCTTGCTATGTAGTTCAGGCAGACTTGGAACTTACTACCCGTGGCAATCCTCTTGCCTCAGCCTCTGAAAGCTGGGATTAGAGGTGTGCGCCATCACTCCTGGCAGAATAAAGTATTTTAAATGCAATTTTATACTCTTATTTTTCTCCTTGGGTTCCAGCTGTCTCTTTCTAGAACAATGCAAGATTTCTCAAAGGGATTCATAATTTAAAGGGAAAATCCCCGCAAAACTACAAACCGTTACACCAGAGAGGGCAGTCTGTGGTTTCCTGGTAGAAAAATGTGCAGACAGTACACAGGGCCACCGAATTTTATACAAAACTTTAGGGGATGCAGATTTCCTGAAGTCCACTCAAGAATTGCACTCCAGATGAACCATTCCTGGATTCATCCACGGGTGATAAATACTTTAAAAACAAAACAAAACAGAGCAGGTGGAATGATCACCACCTGGGTAAGATAGTGAGAGACGCCTTCAAAGAAGTCACCCAAGCGCAGACTTGAGTTGGCGCCATCTGAGCATTCCGTGGAAAGAGCCCAGAAGAAAGAATACCCTGGCGTACTCCGCGTGCATCTATTTGGGGCGCATCTTCATTTCTATTATTTCCCACTCTTTCTCCTGGAAACTTCTCGAGCGCAGCGCAGAGCCACACCTCCTCCTTGTCCCCGGCATCACCAGGGCTGCCCTATCTGGTCTCGTCATGAAACCCAGAACTGAGAGGAAAGTTGCGCTCCTCCACTCTGGGTTCTGCCATTCTGTACGATCTTGAGTCAGACCCCCGATGGGTCTGAATTTCAGGTTCCTCACCATTATGCGCTTATCTTTACGGTCTACTCTTGAGCTAACATTTCAAATCTCTTTTTCTTTCTTCCCCTCTTCCTTTTGCTCCCTTCCCTTCGGCTTCACCTTCCCAGCTCCTTTCTCAACCGAGATTCCACTTAACCTATAACCAGTTCCTGCCGGGTTAGCGCCTGCGCAGACAGGCGCGTAAAAGACTATTTGGCCCAGAGGAGTAGCCGTAGTCGGCCGGAACGAGAGCCGAGGGGCATTGTGGGAGAAGATGGCGGCCGCCACTCACCCGAGGGTTGTTCGGGGTCTCCCAATGTCACGTAAGTGTCAAAGCGAACTGCGGCTCCTGGTGGGTATTCCGTGACTGGACTCAAAGGCTTCGGGAGCAACGCTGCGCCGCAGCGCTCCCGCCGATTCGTGAGCAGCCAGGTTTGCCTGGGTTCGGCGTTGCCTCTGCCTAGTTTCTCCTTCACTTCTCCACCTCCCTGGTTTACCTATTAAATTGTGCACTTGGGAAGGAGACAAGAGAACAAGAGCGGTGGGAAGGGAAGAGCAGAAAGAGGGTCTTTTAAAGGATCGAGACAATCAGTCCTGTGGGGTTGTAAGGGTCTGGGGTTATGAGAAATATCTGAATGGATCCGGAGAGGGACCTGAAAGGGAGAGGAAAATGGCTAGCAGAGAAATTTCATGTGGGTTATTGACTTCATGACCTTGTACAAACCGTCAGTCAGTCTCAACTTCAGATTCTTCATACCACAGTGAAAATGACCATCTCTCAACGTCAGGGGATCTGTGAGAAGGTTAAACGAAGTAGTGATATTTATATGTTTAAAAAAAAGCCTTTTAACCCAAAGCGTCTCTTTAGATGTAGAATATGTTAGCTCAGGGCCCTGGGGCCTGGGAGAGAGAGGGATGTTTGTGGAAAGAAACAAGTACTTGTTGAAAGGAAAGTGAAGAAGAGTGAAGGATATGTTCGAACCTATCAGCATTGTTTGTTCTCCATTCTGTACTGTTAAATCTGTTCTTAGTCCTCAAATTGAAAACACATTTGTTTTTTCAGACACCAAAGAGCAAAAAAAAAAGCTAAGGAATTAATATAGCTACACTTCATCATCATTCTTTCACCCACTACTTCACCAACGTGCTACAATCAACCCACAAAAAGTTCTTTTTCCATAGTGTAAATTTGCTGTCATGGCGGTCAGAATCCTGCTTAGAGTTTTATGAAGAATGAAGTGGGAACTCATTGCAGAAATAGCACACCCAAATTTTTGAGATTAGCTTCTTGCACCTTAAAAGTGTAAAGCACTATATAAATAGTTCTGATGCTCAGCTGAGGAGACAATCAGGAGGGTTTAGGGGGCCCTTTTTTGTTTTTCATCTTGGGTAGAACTACATACCGTTGGGAAGAAAGGTGGTGCACATTTATAGTGGATGGTTTTGTAGCCATGACTTCTTTCCAAAGGCATTTGCTGGTTCTGGCTGAACTATTACATTAGTGAGACATCATGTAGATTAGTAATTATAACTTTTTTTAATACTTACTATATATAACCACAGTTCTGGGTGTTTTCATTGCATTTTTACCCCCTTGAGCTTATTTTTCTTTAACAGATACTATGGCTTATGCTTGTGAGAGCACTCAGCTTATTGTCTCTGGTAAAATAAGCTTTTGAATAAAGTGGAGACCCTAGTCTAGTGAGTAACATAATTAAAACACTAGTACAGAACTGTATGAAACAGTTTTATGTGCTTACATGTGGCTGAACTCTTAAGTACAATACAGAATCAGAAAAGGGAAAGATGATTGTTATTTTAGGTAGCAAGGGAAGATTAGAAGATGAATGGAGAAGTGGTGCCTATATGTAAATCTGTTTAGTGTTTTCAGGATCTGGAAAGTCAGGTGTTGGGGATTTTCCACTGGCACAGGTGTGGTGGGATGGAGTTAGGGTGCTCGTGGAGGCAGTGAAATGACTGCGTATCTCTGGGAAAATAGAGAAAGAAGTTGGATATGTTACATATTATTTTATATTATAGCTTTATATTTATAATATAGCTTTAATATTAGCTTTAAAATATGTAACATATCGTTACTATAAATAACATAATTTTAAATAAATACCTTTTAAAATAATACGGTGTGCAAGCAAATATATCTGGACTATTAGTTTGGATATTATAGTGGGAAATGAATGTAGGTTTTTGAACAAAGAAATATAGTGAAGTATATAATGAGTAAAGAATATTATTCTCCTGCACATTAAATAGAAATAATGGAGAGGCAACCCAAAGAGAATTTATGTTTATTAATGGATGCTTTTCCATACTATATATTCTCATCCCAACTCCCTAAATTGTGAGTTCCACTTGCCAGTGTCTTTTTACTGAGAAATTTAGTTTCTAGAATAGTGCTGGGCCCATAATTGTTCAAAAAACAAGTCACCATGTCAGATTAATTACCTTCTGGGGAATTTCAAAGTAATAGTAATGAAAAGCACTCTGTCATTTGTGCAGTTATACCTCACTAGCTTTGTGATAAACAATATGCTAAATGCTTTATGTACCTTTATTCTAGTCCTCATAACGGTCTTTTGAGGCATTCCTTGTCCCCTGTAATTATTTCTATTTCATTGGCTCTGCCATTTTCACTTCCCGCTTATCCTATCATCTTTACTTTATTCCGTATTCGTTTATTTCCTTTCATACATTTTCGCTCTCCAGCTCATCTCCCTTTATCATAAAAAGCAGTGACCCCGATTACACCAAACTTTCCCAGTATTTTCTGCTTTCTCCTGAGCAGTAGACAGTGAGACCAGAGAAAACTCTGAATTAACTGACCTTATTTTAATCTCAAGTAAATTTCCAGCAACGTATTTTTCTAGGAAATTTGCTTTTGAGATAAGAATTACTTAACATTGCTATAATAGTTATACTTAGATATAGAAGAGAGACTAGACTTGTTCTTCCTCACTCCCAAAGAAGACAAGGATGAAAATGTGGAGAAGCGGTCACTGCTTCCCCTGATGGTAAGACCTGCCAGCTGTTAGACTAGCTCCCAGCAGGTAGTAGGGGCTGCTACAGGAAATAGCGTTTCTGTCCCCACAGGTGCTGAGGCTAAGGGCAGGGAGTCTGCATACATACTGAGGAGATGATGCAGTGAGGTCCAGACTTTGAAGGTTTCTTCTAGGGACACGGATCAGTGAAGAAGTGTTGATGGGAGATTTGACAAATCATTTATACTGTTCACCTTTCTCAAAGTCAGAAAATTTTTTCTCAAGTACTTTCTCCTCCTCATTTTTGATATTTTTCATTGGTTTTTATATTAGGTCTGATGTATACTTTTTAATGCTGTGCACCAACAATTCTCTGCCCTAACCCATACCACATTTGTTTTTCCTGAGTCAGCAGTTTCAGAGTCTGTTTCATGTAGAGCTCTTGCTGCTACCCTGTGTCAGTATGTTCCTTCCTACCTCTGTTACATGTGTGTAGTGTTTTCCAGTGAATTCTCCTACTTCAGATGCTCCTCTTGAAAACCTTTCTCAAAACACATTACCCAAGAATCCTTTCTCATGGGAATGTAACTTTATCTTTCTAGATCAATTATATCCCATAGGGGCATAGAATTTACTTTCCAATTTTTATATATTTTTCTCATGTCCTAGAGGTTTTGTGTTGTAATATTTCATTATTGCTGTTGTTACTTGAATTACTAAGGTACTGATCACAAAACAGTGTTACAATTTTCAGAGAAGTTATGTTTTCTCGGTTGCTTTTCTATTAACATTTGCCACCTTTGTGTACTCTGTGGTTTTCTTTTAGGTTCTGCCATTAGTGCAATAGCTATATCTGCGTTTCAGGGCCTGCCCCACCGCCAGCTTCATCATGCAGTCCTGCCTCATGGGAAAGGTGGGCGCTCCTCCGTCAGTGGGGTGGTGGCCACTGTGTTTGGAGCAACAGGATTCCTGGGCCGCTATGTTGTCAACCGCCTTGGTAAGTAGCATTCTTGAGTTCAGTGTGCTTTCCTACCCTTCATTAGGATTGCCCAGTGAGAGGCCATGAGCTGGGTTTCCCCTCATTTTAACAGTTTGCAATTTCTGTCTTATTTATGTGCTACCTAGGCCATAAGATGGGAGTAAGGGAGCCTGGAAAGTTATGGCTTCATTAGCATGGCACATGTGCTTCTTCGTTATATATAATATCCACATATACAAGAATTTAGACACCTACTGTATCCTTATTGTGTGATGTATTCGTATTCTGTAGATGTTGATCCTCATTTCATTTTGTGTTTTAGGACGGATGGGGTCTCAGGTGATCATTCCCTATCGGTGTGATACTTACGACATCATGCATCTTCGGCCCATGGGTGACCTGGGCCAGCTTATCTTTCTGGTAAGATATCGATGGCTGATACTTTGAGTTAGCAAATAGAAATTACTCAGGTAATTCTTAGTAGTGAGAGGCAGTACAATAAAGTAGCAATGAGTCAAGGGCAGCCTCCGTTCATAGGAGATTCTTTCAGGTAGGTTCCTGCATCTCTTGACTTGGCATGAAGACTAGATCTGGAGTTGGCAAACTTTCTTCTCTCTTTTTTTTTTTTTTTTTTTTTTTTTTTTTTTTTTTT